ATACTGAACTGGGTGTATTAATGTGCATCATATGTGCTGTGCACTTGTTTGCAGAGTTGCTGTGTAATATATGTTTGTCACATTCATAGTAGTTCATGTTATTCACTTACTTACGTTTGGCTTACAATTCACTTATGTGTATACGTGTATACGAGCCAATTAACGATAACGTGTTAATAATTAACGATAACGAGTATACGAGCCAATTTCTCTTAAAAGGTCCTCCTCGAAGGTATCCCTTCCTTAGCCAGATAGACCTACCGCGCTCTGCCGTAAATAAAAACGTCATTGAGAGTCAATATATTTTAAAGCACGCCATCTTGTGGACCTTCTTGACTCAAATAAATACAAAAGAAATTACATCCAATTTGTGCAGAAGTGGTTCGAATAATTATTGATGAGTGTATGGTTCGAATAATTATTAAAGAGAATTAAATGAAATATAAGGTAACTGTCCTGCAAATAAAATTCAAAAGGTGTTGATTAGCTGATGTCCAAAGTTACTGCTAAAAGTTCTTTACATACAAATAAAAGCACATAGTTACACAAGCAAGTGCACAATTTTAGTCAACATTTGAAATATACGAGTATTAATGCAGAAGCAATAAAATAATAAAAATCTGAAACCTTTCCGATTTTACATAAAGCCCAGAGGGGCGTTTTCTTAACGTTTTGTGTGTTACCTTTATTAAACAAGTTCTTCGCATTTAAACCATAAAATTGAATTCAACAACAATATCGCAAAATTATTTTAAAATAGCACATCAGAATATCGATACACAGTCTCGCGCGCTACAGGTAAGCGTTTTTTCCCGTACAGTAACGCCACTGGTCGTTTTGAAATCGCTGAGTTTGTTAATCAAAAATTCGTTACAGTATGAAATCGATAGTGAAACGAATTCCACATTAGGGCTTCCAGATGACCATATTCGGTGGAGGATTACGTTATTCGAAATTGGATGGCTCTAGGTACCGTTGTTTTATCACTAGGCGAGAAACATCCATCATAATCACACAAAAATATTAGCTACATTTATGCAGATTCTTCATTATGTAATTTCTTTAAATGTAGCACAAGGCGATAATATTTGGTGGCAACAATTTGAAAAGTCAAACGGACATTTACAGTTTTTGACGCAGAATGCCAAAACTGAATTACATCCCTTTGGGCTAAAAAATAAGAAAGTTACGCAATTTGCATGGTGCAGGAAACAAAATATAGAAGCATAATGAATTATTACTTAAGTTGCTGAGTGGCCGCTTCACATAGTTACGAGAAGTGTAATCATAATTATAAATAAGAATAATGCTGTTATTTGATATCCTAATATTTAAATGGAAATTGTTTGCCAGTTGTGGAAGTAAGCACGAAATTGTGCTATGCCCAATTCTGCATGAATTGCATGAATGCGTAGGCAAAAGAACTGGTGGATGTAAACATGACCTGTTGTCGATAAGCAGGATTTTTACGGATCAAACGTAAACGTTACTTAGCATGTGCAAACTGATAGTTTTCGGGCCTCCGTTCTTAGAATGGTTTCCAATCTATCCGGTTTGTACTAAGTTCGGTAAACAATATCAACGTAGGAAAAGTAAACATACTTTAGCAATTTAAAATACAAATTTGAATCATTAAATAACGATTATTTCATACATCAAAAAATAAAATGCTTACGTACCTTTTCCAATCTTTCTGCCATTTGATTTTCGTTATTCTCCCGAAGTACACAGCGAACTTTTTCAACTTAAAAAAAAATTAGAAAATTGCTGAGACTCGGCTTCGTGCAATTTTCGGCAGCACCGCAAAAAAAAAAAAAAAAAAAAAAAAAAAAAAAAAAAAAAAAGTGCTACAGGCATTCACCCAACCAAATCATAAAAATCGACTGATTAATGAAATAAAAGACTTGTTTAAAAAGGCTGAAAGAAAACATATTGTTAACTTATACTGGGTGAAAGCACACAGTGGAATTGTCGGAAATGAAAGGGCGGGCACCCTTGCTAAAATGGCGGCACTTGGGGATGGAACCGATAATTTTGATATCCAGGATTCAAGAATAAAGACCTTTGCTGAAATGGACTTATTGCTGGGAGTCGGCTAACAAAAAAAAAAAAAAGAGTTAACGAAAATTATGAATTTAAGCAAGAAGATGAATATTATAAATAATTCTGATATAAATCAGGTACTGACTATTCATAGGCGTTTCACTGCTTATTTGAATCGGTTCCATCTATAGAATAATAAATGCTTAACATAAATTTGGGGACGCCAGGCACTTCGTCGATGAATGTACGCTTACCCAAGGGAGAAATATAGAAAGAATTTTAAAGAAGATTTTAAAAGGAACTATTCAAATTTGAAAGATTTTGCAAAGACAATGAAAATTATAAATACGGACAAATATAGAATTCTAATTCAGTACCAAGACTCAGATTTTGAAGATTTGTTTTTTCTGGCTAGTCCCATTTTTTAAAAGTACGGCCGGCTAGGAGGACTGACACTGTGCAATTACAATGAATGAATAATGAATGTGGAAAACGCATTTCCTCGTTGTTCCCTATAGCAAACTTTCGGCAAAATACTTTATTACTACCGAAATTTTCCCATAGTTTCTTCCATCGCTGGCGAATCCACAAGCTGATATTTTAAAACTAAGTTCAAAGCAAAAAATATCACGATTTGTGTACAAAAATCATTGGAACTTTAAATACAACAAAACAAGAACGCATATGAAAATGGGAGCGTAGCTTGACTGAAACGATTGCTATGAGCATGGTTGCCGGAAGAATGGTCATGCGCAATGGTTGCCAGAGTTTGGTACTTCCGGAAAATTTTTCTACTTTCACTAAGATGGTTGTTATATAGAACGTAAATACCAACGTGCACACTCAATAATGAAAACACTACAGTTTTCGCTACTTCAGTTTAAACACACTCTCGTTCGGCCTTATTCATTTACATCCTGACAAGGAAACGCGAGAGAAATAAGGAGGGATAGAAAACCATAACAAATTAAAATTATTAGCAAAAATAGTGCAAAGTGCATATCTTTCCCAACTAAAAATTAACTATCAATAAAAGATCTAATTACCTTGATAAACGTAATTAAATCCTAACTCAAACACCGAGTTAATCTTTACAAATTTTAAGTCTTAAAATTTCCTAAACTACTTTTCGCAGCCGAAATATTGTACCACTTGCTCTACATACACATCCTACTTCTTAATATGTTTTCATATTGTTTCCTTCCAGTCTTTTGGCTGGAAAATAGTTTAGAGCAAGTGAGTTTACATATTCACTTCAAATGGTAGCGCAAACAAATAATTTTCACTTTAACACAAATAGATTTACACTCAAACCTGCTTTTGTGCAGTGGATAGAGACAGCATGAAGGAAAACGGAGAACATTTCACGAGTAACTATAAAAGATCGTTTTGGAAACACAATTAAAGACCATTCTTCTATGAGGTGAATAGCATAAAAACGTTTCACGTAGAAAATAACTCAAAACGTTACGAAATAATTAAGAATTGCTTTTTTAAACAAAACCAAGACATGAGGCTTTGCAGCTGCAACTTGGAATCTCGCCAAACCTTTTAGAAACTGATTTATCAAATACACATGCGGGCATTCTTAAATATTTTATTTACATATGTACTTATTATTTTTCACATACAAAATTTGTCAAAACTTATAGCCATTATCCTTTGCAGTCTGATAATACGCGAACTTTCTTGTGGTAAACTGGTTCAAAATCACCTTCGTCACTTGAAGATACTAACCTCGCACTCGTTTAGAGTTGACTTTTTTCAGTTGCCATGTAGCCCGTGATCAATTTTTGTGATGCTGTTGTTTCACTATACGCTTGTATATATATCTCGGTAGCCAGATATACTGTGGGTAAAAAAGTATTTGCACACCTACATTTTTGTTTGCAATTCATAAAAAGAAGCATTAAGAAATAAAAAATTGGTATTGCCAAATCAGAATAAGTTTAATCATCTAAAACAAACAGAAAAATTACAATAATATAATTTGTAACAAAATTAAAATATCTCGTATCAAAAAAGTATTTGCACACCTGCATGAATACAAAAGAAATAAAATATATAAGCAAATTTCAAATAACTAATATTTAGTATGCATTCCTTTAGCATCTATTACTGCTTGTAATCTTGCTGGCATTGATTTAATTAAATTTTCTGTAACAGTAGGGTCAGTATTCGACCACTCTTCAATAAGGGCTTGTTTAAGAGCAGATTTGCTTGAAATCTTCCTTTTTCTTATTTTTAAATCCAAAGAATTCCACAAATTTTCCAAAGGATTTAAGTCTGGTGATTGTGGTGGAAGTGGCAAGTTTTCTGGGTACATTATAAAGCAACCACATACGTGTTATACCGGCAGTGTGCTTGGGATCATTGTCTTGCTGAAAATAGTACGAATTACTGATACCCAATTTTATTGCACTTTGTGGCAAATTATCTCGCAACACATCAATATAGGTTCGAGCTATCATATTCCCATCAATAAAACACAAATTACCAACTCCTTTGCTAGCCATGCACCCCCAAATCATAACAGAACCTCCTCCATGTTTAACTGTAGGTAACACATTTTTGGGTATGAAAAGCAGTACAAGGTTTTCTCCAAACTAATTTCCTGCCATCTGATTTAAAGATATTGAACTTACTCTCGTCGGAGAATATGACATTTTTCCAGAAATCAATTGGCTTATTGATATATTCCTTAGCGAATTCAAGTCTCTTCAGTCTATTTCGTTCAGTTATGAGAGGTTTTTTTTTCCTTGGTGATCTCCCATAAATGTGTGCATCGTGCAGGACATTTCGAACACTTTGGGCACAGATTTGAACTCCAGATGTTGAAGCGACATCATTGGCTAAAGTAATTGCACTAACAAATGGACTTTTTGATGCTTCTCTTATGATTTTTCGCTTCATTCGCAGTGAAAGTTTCTTTGGGCGTCCAGAGCGCAAGTTATTTGATGTATATTCGTAGCCGGGCCGTTAATCTGTCTAATCAAGGGAAATCTTTGAGAAAAATAGGAGAAATACTTGGAAGAAGTGTAAATTGTATTAGAAGAATCATTCAAAAATTTAGAAAGGATGGTACGCTGGAAAACCAAGCAGAGAGAGGCAGGAAGAAAATTCTCAGTTCAGCAGCAGAGAGGAGAATTGTACACAAGGTAAGGATTGATCCTACAATAAGTGCTCCAAAAATTGCTGCAAGTACTTCGGAAACTGTGGGTAAATCTGTTTCTGCAGAAACAGTGCGCAGAATCCTCAGAAGGGCTGGTTATAATGGCAGAAAAGCTCTCAAAAAGCCTTCATTAGTAAAATAAATAGAGCTAAGAGATTAAAATTTGCTAAAGAGCACATTCTAAAGCCTAAAGAGTTCTGGAATGAAGTTTTTTTTCAGCGATGAGAGTAAATTTAATGTTTTTGGCAGTGACGGTCATCGTATGGTGTGGTGCAAGAAAAATTCAGCTTTAGATCCAAGAAACACAATTCCAACTGTGAAGCATGGAGGTGGGTTAGTAATGGTTTGGGGCTGTACGGCATCATCGGGAGTTGGAAAGCTAGTGTTTATTGATGGAATAATGGATAAACAGGTTATCTTAATATATTGAAAAATAATTTGAAGGACAGTGCTACTCAATTGGGACTAGGATCAAAATTCACATTTCAACAGGATAATGATCCAAAGCATACAGCAAATACTGTCAAAGAATGGCTGCTGTATCACTGCCGAAATCAGCTGAACACACACCCCCTCAACCTCCTGATTTGAACGTGATCGAAAATTTGTGGTCCCACCTTGAAAAAGAGGTCCGAAAACATCAGATCACAAGTAAAGAACATTTGAAGCATGTACTAAAAGTGAGTGGGAAAACATTTCACCCGAAATTACGAAAAATCTTGTCGATTCGATGTCCCGGCGGCTGGAAGCTGTCATCAAAGCCAGTGGGTATGCTACAAAATAGTAATGTGTTGTTTTTTTATAATTTATGTTATAAAACAATTACATGTACCCTCAATTTTGTGAGCTCAGATTTTTGACGATTTCTGTTGTACATTTTGTTTCTGTATTTCATGCATTTTTTTATGTCTATTTATGAATAAATATTAAGATTAGTATCTTTCTACATCCTCGTCTAAAGGTTTTGGTGACTGTCTTTATCTGACAGTTTTTGTTTCATTTTATTCTTTTGACGTTTTATAACACACCAAACAGTACAGAAGCAAACATTTACTTTTTTACCTATTTCTCGATAACTTAGGCCATTTTCACGTAAAGAAACAATTTTTTCTCGCAACGAAATTCGGCAATTCAGATTTCTTAGGTGCCATTACAATTTGAAATCGACAATCAACTGATAACGTTTCGACCTCCTTTAGTCGTCTTACGTATGTTATTTACTGCGGGATGACTTGTCAAATAATAGCATAAAAATGCAAATTTGCTTAAAGTCGAGTTGAGTGTGCAAATACTTTTTTGACATAAGCTATTTTAATATTGTTGCAAAAAATGTTTTTTATTAATATTATTGTATTTTTTGTAATTTAAATGAATAAGCTTATTCTATATTTTAAATGCCAATTTTTTATTTCTTAATGCATTTTTTTTTATAAATTGTGAACAAAAATGTATGTGTGCAAATACTTTTTGTACCCACTGTACAAGATTGAAGCTCCTTTTGGACCTTCAGTGTTTATTTGCGACCAATGCATTTTTGCTTTGATAGGCAAGATTTTCATCGCAATATGCTACTGCACATTTCATTTATTTCCATTGGAAAATCTTCTGCGTTCAACAATTAAATTATTCTATTAAAGAATTCAATACATATGTAATGTGATGAAATATATATCAAAAATCAAAACCCCTTTTATTCTTCTAATGGCAGGCACTTGCCTATAACGGCATCGGCTACTATTAAGGCCAGAAATGGTAGCCATTTTATTGTGGAGGCACCTAATAGGCGGCCATCATTACCTACTATGAAAGAAGAGAAGTTTTTACATCCATGCCTTCTCCGGGATTCGAACCCGGGCCATTCTGTATCGTAGTTAGGCTTCCCTAACCACAATTACCATCTAGGGGGCAAAATGGAAAAAATTAAATGGCGGATCAAACTTACTAATTTTTTGGCTAAAGTGCTGAATCGCCCACTTATTTGTTTGGCGCTTTTTACAAGAGTAAGAAGAATTGGATTTTTGTCACTTTTCTTTGACTTTTTAAGTGAAAATTGGTCGATGTGTATATGGAGTAGTCAAAAATGTGCGCAATAACATTTTTGTGCAATTCTGGGATGTTTTTTTAAGTGAAAATAGGTCGACGGGTACATGGATACAGAGTATGTGCAATTCTTAAAAACGCGCCAAGCAGTGGACGATTCTGCACTTCCCCAATTTTAGTCATTGATAACTTCCTCAATAATGTTCCAGTTTGATTGCAATTTTCATATACCACACAAAAATACTGCACAAAAACAGATTTGAGTTACTATCATTTGACATCACATGGGAGAAGGTTTATTCACCATTTTTCTTTCCAACTTTCCCCCTACGAGGTCTATTGAACCAAACCGTTTTCTACTGAACAGCTTTGTGTTCATGTAAAGCATGTTCAACATTACTGCCTAACCAAACAGTCTGCATGTTAGAATTTTCACGTACCACACCTCAAAAATACATCCTACATTCAATTTTCAGTCCTGAGGTGCTGATTCAAGTGAAAAATTAACTTAGTATTGGCTGGTGAGCTTTAAATTCTACTGTTACCTTTAACTTACCTTGACTTAACTTTAAGTATGTATGAAAATACATACATACTTATTCCTGTTTTACTAGCAGACACAAAAATACATTTCGTTTTTTGTTTCACAATTTTCACAAAAAGTTTTACATTTACAATCTGCTTTAATTGAATTCCCTGAAATTAATTTCAAATCATTTATATTCAATAAAATTATTTAATTTAAAGAGTAACGAATTTGTTTCACTTAATTGGAAACTCAGTCTCTCAGACTAAAAATTAAGATCTCGTTCTCATTTTTAAATTAAAAATATTCCGATAATTACAAAGCCTAACTTTAAATTTCATGCATTCTCAAACTAGTTTTTATTTTTAACTTAAGTTTTCCTATTAACTTGAATTTTAACTCTTTCGCATATAAACACATATTTCTGTTTTACTAGCATCACAAAAATAGTTTTAGTTTTAACATATACTCGCAAAAACGTTTACATTTACAATCACTCTAGTTCAGTTTCTTGAAAACAATGTCAAATCCTTCACATTCAATAAAATTCTTTAGTTTAATGAGTAATTTAAGAGTATTTAAGAGTAAATTTAATTAAATTTCCTAAATTAATTCTCAAACTCACTTAATTAGATTAAAACTGAACATCTTGTTCTCATTTTTAAATTTAAAATATTCTGATAATTACAAAATCCAACTTTAAATTTCACGCATTCTCAAATTAGTTTTTATTTTTAACTTTGATTAAAATTAAATTAAACTCAAATTAATCTTACTACATTCGGCCATTCTACCGTCTAAAGAATTCGCTTCAAACGTCACAATAGGATTTCCATAACATTCAACTACTCAGGCTACCATAAATGAAACAACAACGTGGCAATAAATCAAACAACAACTTAGCCATAATAC